CTACTTCAACCACTACTACGATCCAGCAAAAGACGCGCCAGATCCCAACCGCAATAACTCAGGCGTAAATCTGCTGCTGTAAGGTGTCCATCGCAATTTCAGATAGCAATGAACACGTATGGCAATTGTTTAGCATGTTTTCTTTATTCGCTTCCTCTTCGGTTGGGATCTGACCGTGCCTGGTGTTTTAGACGGTTGGGATCTGAACCGTCCGGTTGGGATCTCACGCGTCCGGTTGGGATCTGAAACCGTCGCGGATCGACCCCCCCCCGTCCCCCCCTTTGCGCCGAACGTAGGGGTGGGGAGGGGGCCTCTCGGGTAGTGAGTAGAGAGTAGAATGTTTTGAATAGCGATTGGTGAATAGTGGGTATTTGATAGTGAGTAGTGCGCAGTGAGTCGTGACTGGTGAGTAGTGAGTAATGGGTAGTGGTAGTAGTGAGTAGCGCGTACATATTAGAGAGCAGTGAGTAGTGAGTAGTGGGTAGTGAGTAGTGGGAAGGAAGTAATAAAGAATTGTGGGTTCTGAAAGTGAGGAGTGAGTAGTGTGTAGGGAGTAGTGCATAGTAAGTAGTAAGCAGGGAGTAGGGATGAGGGAGAAGACAGGAGCGAATAGCGAGGAGTGAATTGTAAGTTGTGAATAGTGCGCAGTGAGTAGATAGTAGTGAGTAGTGAGTAGTGGGTGGTGAGTAGCGAGTAGCGAGTAGCGAGTAGGGAGTAGCGAGTAGTGAGTAGCAAGTAGCGAGTAGGGCGTTGTGAGTAGTGAGTAGTGAGGAGGGAGTAGTCAGGAGTCAGTAGCGAGTAGTGCGTAGCGAGTAGGGGGTAGCGAGTAGTGAGTAGTGAATTGTGAGTAGGGAGTAGGGAATGGGGAATGGTGAGTTGTGAGTAGCGAGAAGTGGGTAGTCGGTAGTGAGTAGGGAGTAGCAAATAGAAATTAGTGAGTAGTGACTCGTGAGTAGTGAGTAGCGACTTGCGACTAGTGACTAAAAGTGTAGGGAGTAGTGAGTAGCGAGTAGTGCGTAGAGGGTTTTGAATCGTCCTATTGGGCAGCGAGTAGCGGATAGTGAGTAGTGAGTTCAGGGCAGTGCGTAGTGAATGAAGACTTGTGAGTTCTCAATAGTCAGTAATGGACGGTGGTTAGTGGCTAGTGAGTAGTGCTTAGTGAGTAGTGAGTAGTGGGCAGTGAGTAGTGTTTAGTGAGTAGTGAGTATTGAGTACTGGGTAGTGAGTAGGAGTTGGGGGTAGTGAGTACGGAATAGGAAGTAGTGCGTAGTAATGAGTGGGAGCGTAGTGAGTAGTGAGTAGTGGGTAGCAAATAGTGCGTATTGGGTGGCGAGTAGGGCGTAGGGAGTAGCGAGTATTAAGTAGTGGGTATTGAGTACTGTGTAGGGAGTAGCGAGTAGTGGATAGTGAGTAGTGAGTAGTGAAGTGTGACTAGTGAGTAGTGGATACTGTTTCGTGAGTAGTGAGTAGTGATTTGTGATTAGCGAGTAGTGGGTAGTGAGTTGTGTTTAGTGAGCAGTGACTATTGAGTAGTGGTTAGTGAGTAGTTTGTAGTGAGTAGTGAGTAGTGGGTAGGGAGTAGGGAGTAGGGAGTAGTGCGTCGTGGGTAGTGAGTCGTGGGTAGTGAGTAGTGAGTCGTGAGTAGTGAAGAAGTGAGCAGTGAGTAGCGAGTAGTGAATTGTGGGCAGTGAGTAGTGTGTAATGAATAGTGAGTACTGTTTGGGGCTAGGGTTTGGGTTTGGGGTTAGGGGTTAGGGCAAGGGTGAGGATTAGTGTTCGGGGTGGCAGGGGTCCGGTTCCGGAGACCGGGGGCGCCGTGGCGAAAGGGGGGAAGGGGAGAGGTTCGAATTGGGCGGCCAAAGGGGGGGAGGGGGGAAAGGGTTCGAACCCCCCCCCGCGTTTGAAAGGGTGGGCGGGGGGGGGGTCCCCGACGACGGACGGGAAGGGGGGGAGGGGGGGGGGGGGGGGATTGGGGGGGGGGGTGGGGGGGTCCCCGACGACGGATCGGGGAAAGGGGGGGGGTCCCACCCCAGGAAGGGGGGGGGGGGGTCCCACCCCCACCCCCCCTTAGGGTCATCCAGCGGCGCGCCCTCATAGAACAGATTCCTGGATTTGAGATGCCAATGCGTATAAAGGAGAACGCTGTGAAAGTAGATGGGGGCCACGCGACGAGAGGGTGTACTGCAGCATCGTTGAGGGGAAACTGCTGTTGGGAGCGTCCAGTGGAGCCAAGAAGACGGAGGTCTGGGGGGAAAAGCTGGCGAGGCAAGGATATGCCGCACGACGGAGCTGGGCGTGAGGCAGATGTTTTCCGACATGGAAATCGCATCGCACTCGAGCGACCTTATCTTGGAAGCGGGCCACAAATATGCTCACTGGAGGCATTGTCCGTGCTCGGAGCGGCCAAAAAAACATTTCAGGCTTGGCGACGTGCACAAGTATTTGATGTCAGAAGATGCCCGCAATGATGCTCGCTGGCAGCCTTGCCCAAGGTGAGGGAGGCCGAACCAAAAACATCAAATTCGGCGCTATGCGTGAGCATCACATGCTGGAAGGTGATCGCAGTGATGCTAAATGGCGATCTTGCCCTTGCTCAGAGAAGCAACACCAAAACATCAAGTTCGGCGCCGTGCGTGAGCATCTTAGGCTCGAGGGAGACCGCATCGCTGGCAGCCTTGTCCAAGCTAAGGGAGACCGATACAAAAATCAACATCGGCGCGGTGCGTGAGCATCTTATGCTGGAAGGTGACCGCAGTGATGCTAGCTGGCGACCTTGCCCGTGCTGAGAGAAGCCACGACAAAACATCAAGTCCGGCGCCATGCGTGAGCATCTTATGCTGGAGGGTGACCGCAGTGATGCTCGCTGGCGGCACTCAGAGAGACCAGGATGAGGAGGAGGAGGAAGAGGAGGGATGCGGAGGAGAGAGGAGGAGAAGGAGGAGAAGGAGGAGGAGGAGGGGCGCGAGGAGGAGGCAGAGGAGGAGAGGCGAGGAGGGGAGATCTGGAGGAGAGATGGGGAGGAGGGAGGACGAGGAGGGAGGCCGAAGTGGCTGTCGTCTGCCTCCCAGCTTGCTTTGCCCCTTAGGGGGGGGCCTCTCGGGGCCTCCCAGGAACCTCCTCACGCCCGCCCCGGGCTTCACGAAGGCTGCTTTAGGCGCCCCTAGATACAGTCGAGGCTGACTAGAGTCGGGGGCTTGACCTAAGGAACCCAAGATAAGGAACGAGGCCCCTTTTTCCCATGAGTTAAACTTCGGTTTCCGATCGAAAACATAAGGAAAGCCTGAGGCAAGCTGTGAAACACTTAAGGAACGCGGAGCCCCTCCTCATCGAAAAGGGTTCCTTCTTCAGGGCCCCGACTGTACGAGGGCTGCTTTAGGCGCCCCTAGATACAGTCGAGGCTGACTAGAGAAGACACGCAAGATGACACAAGACCCTTCGGAGGACCACATTGCAATGGGAATGTAATGCGGGATGACGATTAATTAAAAAATTGGAGAGGACGATTAAAAAAATAGTTTTCTGCTATTTCTGCACAGGCTTCTGTCTGGAGGAGAACGATTTAAAACATAATTTTCCAGACCGCGGCCGGTTTTTTCTAATCGTCATCCCGGGCGCCACCGCGTGAACACGACCCCCGGTCATTTATGAATCGCCATCCTCCATTACAGTCGAGGCTGACTAGAGAAGACACGCAAGATGACACAAGACCCTTCGGAGGACCACATTGCAATGGGAATGTAGAGGGCATGGGTCGCGAAACAAGGCACAAGCCTACCCTTGATTTCGCAGGGTCGACCTACTAATCAGCCTCGACTGTACTCTTAGGTCGGATTGGGGGATCGGGAAGCCGTTTTGGGGGACTCCTGGGGCAAGATGTGGACTGGACTGCTAGCCGCCGTGGGGTCGTCTGGGAGACTGACGGGGATACACGTGGCAAAGGTGACCGCGTTGGACCTCCAGGCTGGCAATGAAAATCTGATTACATAACCAGGCACGAAAGGGAATGTGGAGGCAGGAGGCGGGCGTAAGAACAAGGACGGATGACGAAATTGGGGAGAGGGACGGAGGAGGCGGATGCAAGGACAGGAACGGTGCAGGGATGAGGCGGATCGGAAGGCAGCGACAAACCTGAGGAAAATCATAATCATTGCGTGTCGCCTCTCGGGGGGCTCCCATGGGTCTCTTGGCACCCTCCTTGGCCTGTTTTCGGCTGTCTTGGGGTGGCGTCTTGGTCCACGGTTTCTCTTCATTTCAGGGTCCGCTTGTGCGAGCTTGGCGCCAAATGGGGGCCTCTGGGGCCGTCTGACGCCGTGCGAAAGTGTCTTGGGGCATCTTGACGCCCTCCCAGGGCCCTTCTGATGGCTCAAGGCGGTTGCGCGAACCGACGCACGGTGGAAGCGCGGAGTCGGGCCATTGGGGGGGGGAGGGAAGGCGGGCGCCCGTACGCATGTACCAGATGCTCCAATCTGTGCCTACGCTTATGTTGCTCCCATCGTACTTAAGGACCACATCCCAGAAAAAATTCGAGCACACGGAAAAGTGTCGAAAGAGTGCCGACACAGTGTCGGACGAGTGCCTCCCAGGGCCGGACACGTGATAACCCTTGAGGTTCGGCTTGTTCTGTTGCTGGTGCTCGAAACTCTTTCTGGCGATCAGGTTAACGTAGGTTGGAACATCATTAGGGGAACAAAAAGTGGCATAAACATAAAAACTCGGAGGTCCGCGCGGATTCCTCGGATCGGCGCTGGGGCCCCCCCCGGCGGCGCCTTCGGCGCCGATCCGAGAAAATCCGCGCGGACCTCCGAGTTTTTATGTTCATGACACTTTTTTTTAAACGGGCGAAGAACGCTATAAAATAAACTTGTTCGCTGTCGGGGCGCCTGTCCCAGGGCGGCTGGAAAGTTTATACCCTTACGGTGGCACCGTAGGGGTATAAACTTTCCAGCCGCCCAGGGACAAGCGCCCCCGACAGCGAAAAAGTTTATCTGATGCCGTTCTTCGCTCGCTGATTTTTGCCCCCCTAACCCAGGGAGTTCGATGGGCGTGGGGAGGTTCCGCCCGGCGGAGCGCGCCAGGGAGGGGGGTCCAGCGCCGATCCGAGAAATCCGCGCGGACCTCCGAGTTTTTATGTTCATGCCACTTTTGCCCGCGGGGAGGGGGAGGGGGAGGGGGCGGAGGAGGAGGAGGAGCGGGAGGAGGAGGAGGAGGGGGAGGGGGAGGGGAGGGGGAGGGGAGGAGGAGGAGGAGGAGAGGAGGAGGAGGAGGAGGAGGAGGGAGAGGAGGAGGAGGGAGAGGAGGAGAGGGGGAGGGAGAGGAGGAGGGGGGGGAGGAGGAGGGGGGGGGGATTCCGCGCGGACCTCCGAGTTCGATGGGCGTGGGGAGGTGCCGCCCGGCGGCGGCCCCTCCAGGCGGTGGTCATGTATATATTCCCGCCCCGGGGCCCCCGCCTCGCGCCAGTCGCGCAGGAGGCCCCTATAGGGCGAGGGCGCGCCCGGAGGAGCCCGGGGTCGCCCCGCCTCGCGGGCTCTCCGCGCGCGCGCGAAGCCCGACAGGCTCTTCGAGCCCTCGCGCGGCCACCAACCTGCGTCTCCCCAGACTCCTCCTCCTCCTCCTCCTCCTCCTCCTCCTCCTCCTCCTCCTCCTCCTCCCCCTATTCCTCCTCCTCCCCCTCCTCCCCCTCCTCCTCCTCCTCCTCCTCCTCCTCCTCCTGCACCGCGCGCGGCGGATGCCGCACGCGGCTCGCCCCCGCAGTCACTGCATCAGAGGGGCTGGATCGCACAGCGTACACCGTACAGCTCACACCACCGCGCTGACGCCACAGGCCTCACGCGTGCGCATGTGCGCACGGGCTTCGGAGCCATCCCGCCTGAAGGCCAGATCGTGCGTTCCCCAATCCCGATCTTACTCTGCCCCGACGCTGCGCGCAAGGCTGCGACCGCCAAAAAGTGCGCGCGCGTGCGCGCATGTGCGTGGGGGGGGGACGGGGGAGGTTTGATTTAAATGTTGCTGGGAATTGGAATCTAGCGGAAACTATGTGGAGTACTACGCGACATGTGGTGAACGTTGCTCCTCCGCCTCCTTCCTCTCCCACAGGCTTGGAAGTCGGAGGCCATCTTCAGACACCCTGGGAGGCCTCGCGGGGTGTCTGGTGCCGGGGCTACCCGAAGCCCGCGTAGGCGACAACTAACAGTTTCCTATCGAAACAAATTCGGAACTAACCAATGTAGTCCTCCCAGGCACATGTGTGGGCGCCTCTTTTGGGGGGGGGACCAATTCTTGGGTGAATTTTGAAATTCTCGGAAGGCATCTTGCGGCGTGCACCTCCTCAGGTGCCTCCGTTTTCCCCATCTGGGACGTCTTTGGGACCTTTTTGGTGCCGGCTTGGGCTGTCGTGGGGTCTTCTCGGGCCGTCTCGGGGGGTCTGTGTCGCAACCCTGGAAATCTTGGACGGAGCACTGGAAAGCGCAAAGCGGGAAACGCAAACCCCAACCCTGGAAAGGGAAAACCACAACCCTGGAAACGGCGCCCGTAGCCCAACCCATGAGCGTGTTTCTTTATTCTCGGTGATCTAATGGGTATTATGGGGGGGGGAGGGGCCACGGGGGGTGTAATGTAACGCTTCCCCCCCGCCGTGCGCACGGCGGCAGTGCCAGGAGCGCACTGGGGGGGGGAGGGGCGTTACGTTATAGGGGGGAGGGAGGGGGGCAAGTGGCTATAATGCCCACTATGCCCCAGACAATGAAGAAACACGCTCCTGCTCCTCCTCTCTGCTCATCGTACTCCTCCCGCATCCTACGCTTGTAATTAGCCGATGAGGGGAGAGATGGTTTTCCTGGAAAATAAAGCTACGGCTTGGGTTCGGGCGGGGGATGGTTAGAAACTCGAGTTCGGCAACAAAGGAAAGGAACAATTCGCAACAAATTCAAAAATTCTGGGAAATACCAAAAAATCATGTGTTGGTTCGGGAAATGTCCGGAAACAGATCGGGAAATGTCCGGAAACAGTTCGAAACCAAGGCGGGAGTCCACGTACAAATCACACGCGTTCCAGATACTTGGAACTGTTTCGCCGTCGAATGGTATCCAAACTTTTTCCAAGCGTCAGGGTTCTACCAACTTTTCACTGCATCGACCTTGCAGACGTGCTGCAGCGGATTTTTGTGTGGAGTTCTGTCAATACAAAACCCCGCAACGGCGCGTGAAAAACGAAGTGGGTTTCGCGTGGATCGTTTTTGGTCTGCATCCATGACCAAACTAATCCGCACGAAATTCACCTGGAAATCCAGAACGAAATTCTCCAGGACACTCCGGGCCCATCCGACCGTTTTCCGAACGAAATCCGCTCTGCGATGCTGGCGCCATGAAACTTTAAACTTGAACTTTGCTAAAGCATGAACTGTTTCCGGACTTTTGAACCCCCTTCAGCCAAGCACAATCCTACGCACACCCTGCCCAGTCCGCCCCGCCCCAAGCAGAAATCTGCGCATATGGGCGCGTGCGTGTGTGTGTGTGTGTGTGTGTGTGTGTTTGTGTGTGTGTGTGTGTTTGTGTGTGTGTGCGTATGCGTGTGTGCGTGAACGTGCTTGGTCTCATATTTTATCTTCGATCAGAGAGCGACCAACATAAATCCGCCGGCCCCCTTGTGGGGCCACCAGGCTGTAGGCCTAAGCTTCGCAGTTTCCTGTACCAGTTGCAGCTTCCAAATTCCACTGTTACAGTTCTGTTTGCTGCTTACTGTTCCTTGTTGACTTCTTGCTGCTTACTGTTCCTTGTTGATGGACCGCGCGAGGCGGGGAGGCCCAAAACGGACATTTTTACGACCGAGAAATCGTATTGTCTGAATTGCTGGGGTGGGAACACATCAACACCCCTCACGCAGATCGGCGGGGTCAGGGTCCAAAAACACATGGGATGTGCTACATGTTTGAAATTCGGTGACACCCCTCACGCAGATCGGCGGGGTCAGGGTCCAAAAACAAACGGGATTCGCACACATTTCTGAAATTCGGTGGCACCCCTCACGCAGATCGGCGGGGTCAGGGTCCAAAAACACATGGGATTTGCCACATTTCTGAAATTCGGTGCCACCCCTGACGCAGATCGGCGGGGTCAGGGTCCAAAAACACATGGGATTTGCACACATTTCTGAAATCTTGCGGCACCCCTCACGCAGATCGGCGGGGTCAGGGTCCAAAAACACATGGGATTTGCCACATGTAAACATGATGGACCCACGAACCCGGAAAGGGATATAGACATGTGGAGCATGGACACGTTTTCATGATACCCAACTGGGCAACACCTCACGAAACATCCCACGAGACACCTCACGAAACAGCCCACGAGACACCTCACGAAACATTCCACGAGACACCTCACGAAACATTTCACGAGACACCCCGCGAAACATTCCACGAGACACCCCACGAAACATTCCACGACGACAGGCAACCACTCAACCAAGGCGGTGTGGTCGTGCTGGGGAGTGGTCGTGCTGGGGTGTGGTCGTGCTGGGGGGTGGTCGTGCTGGGGGGTGGTCGTGCTGGGGGGGTGGTCGTGCCGTGGGGGCGTGGTCGTGCTGGGGCGTGGTCGTGCTGGGGCGTGGTCGTGCTGGGGTGTGGTCGTGCTGGGGAGTGGTCGTGCTGGGGTGTGGTCGTGCTAGGGCGTGGTCGTGCTGGGGCGTGGTCGTGCTGGGGCGTGGTCGTGCTGGGGTGTGGTCGTGCTGTGGTGAGGTCGTGCTGGGGTGTGGTCGTGCTGGGGTGTGGTCTTGCTGGGGTAGGGTCGTGCTGGGGTCGGGTCGTGCTGGGGTGTGGTCGTGCTGGGGTATGGTCGTGCTGGGGTGGGGTCGTGCTGGGGTGGGGTCGTGCTGGGGTCTGGTCGTGCTGGGGTGTGGTCGTGCTGGGGTATGGTCGTGCTAGGGTGGGGTCGTGCATTTCGCTCGAGACATCCTGCCAAAATTCCAGGAAATCGTACAAAAACAAACGAATTAGTCGAGACATCATCGAAATTCCTTCGCGCGGGGCGCTTTTCCGCGTCGCGGTCGGCTCTGCAAAACAAGCGTTTCGCTCGAGACATCCTCGGCAAACTCTGCGGAGCAAGCGTTTCGCTCGAGACATCCTCAACACACGAAAAAGTGGCCCGCACCCTGTGATTTATCGATCGGGATTTCAAAAACAAGCGTTTCGCTCGAGACATCCTCAAATTTTAATTCGCCGGCCTCCTTCGACCTCGATATTTATCAGGGAAAAAATTCGCCGGCCTCCTTCAAGTTGGCACCGGGGGACAGGTTTACCTACTAAAAGAGAACCCTGGGCTCATGCCCTTTCCGGGAAAAAAAATCGGTGGCGCCACTCACGCAGATCGGCGGGGCCAGGGTCAAAAAAACATATAGGATTTGCAACATTTCTAAAATTCGGTGACACCCCTCACGCAGATCGGCGGGGTCAGGGTCCAAAAACAAATTGGATTTGCCATATTTTTCAAATTCGCTGGCACCCCTCATGCAAATCGGCAGGGTCAGGAAGCAAAAACACAAGGAACGCGCCACAGTTCTGCAATTCGGTGGCACCCCTCACGCAAATCGGCGGGGTCAAAATCCAAAAACGAAAAGAATGTGTCACATTTCTAAAATCCGGCGGCGCCCCTCACGCAGATACGTAGGGATTTGCAACATTTTTCAAATTCGGTGACACCCCTCACGCAGATCGGCGGGGTCAGGGTCCAAAAACACAAGGGACGCGCCACATGTTTGAAATCCGGTGGCACCTCTCACGCAGATCGGCGGGGTCAGGGTCCAAAAGCACATGGGATTTGCCACATTTCGAAAAATTTGCTGACACACACACAAACACACACACACACACACACACACACACACACACACACACCTCACGCAAATCCGTAGGGTCTGGGTCCAAAAACATATGGGATTTGCCACAGTTCTGGAATTCGCTGGCGCCCCTCACGCAAGTCGGAGGGGTCAGGGTCAAACAAAAAAAAATGATGTCACATTTCTAAAATTGGCTGGCACCCCTCACGCAGATCGGCGGGGTCAGGGTCCAAAAACACATGGGATTTGCCACATTTCTGAAATTCGGTGGCACCCCTCACGCAGATCGGCAGGGTCAGGGTCCAAAAACACATGGGATGTGCCACATTTCTGTAATCCGGTGGCACCCCTCACGCAGATCGGCGGGGTCAGGGTCCAAAAACAGAAGGGATTTGCCACATTTCTGAAATTCGGCGGCACTCCTCACGCAGATCGGCGGGGGCAGGGTCGAAAAACAAACAGGTCCTGACACTGCTTCACGGCGGCGCCCAGACCTGATGATTTAGCTTTTGCATCTCCCATTCTCCAAGAGAGGGGCCAGCGGCAGGGGGCGAAGCCCTTACGGATTATTTTGCTTCGAACTATGCCCACCGAAACCTTAAGCATTTGTTCCCGACGGCGCGCGGTCGCCTAATTGGTCGACAACTGCC